AAATTCCAAGCAGGCTTTCATGTGTTTTGCACTGAGGCGAGGCTTCCGTCTAGCCACTCTGCCAGAAAGCCCAGATTGGTGGAGGGCTGCAGTGATAGTTGCCCTTCTGGAACTTTGTCCCCATCTCCACACAGGATCTCTGGAGCTCAGTCAGAGTGACCATTGGGTTCTTGGCCACCTCTGTTACTAAGGCTCTTCTCCCCCAGTTGCTCAGTTTGGCCAGGCCACCAGCTCTTGGAAGAGTCCTGGTTGTGCTAAACTTCTTCCATTTGAGAATTATGGAGGCCACTGTGCTCTTGAAAACCTTCAGAGCAGCAGAAATTTTTTTGTAGCCTTCCCCAGATCTGTGCCTTGCAATAATCTTGTCTCTGAGCTCTGCAGGCAGTTCCTTTAATCTCTGGCTTTTGCTCTGATACAGTATACATTGTCAGCTCTATAGAGAGATGTGTGCCTTTCCAAATCATGTCCAATCAATTTAATTTACCACAAGTGGACTCCAATCAAGGTGTGGAAACAGCTCAGCAATGATCAAGAGAAATGGGAGGCACCTGAGCTAAATTTCAAGTGTTGTTGGAAAGGGTCTAAATACTTAATGCCAATGTGATATTTCAGTTTTTCCTTTTTATACATTTGCAAACATTTCTAAAATTCTGTTTTCACTTTGTCATTATGGGGTATTGAGTGTAGATTCATGAGAAAAAATGAATTTGAACAATTGTAGTATCAGGCTGCAACATAACAAAATTGAAAAAAGTGAAGGGGGTCTGAATACTTTCCAAATGCACTGTATTTTTATACATTTGCAAACATTTCTAAAATTCTGTTTTCACTTTGTCATTATGGGGTATTGAGTGTAGATTCATGAGAAAAAATGAATTTGAACAATTGTAGTATCAGGCTGCAACATAACAAAATTGAAAAAAGTGAAGGGGGTCTGAATACTTTCCAAATGCACTGTAATGTCTTCCATGTGTTATGCTAAAGTATTACAGTATGGAAAGGCATATAACTGGAAGAGCACGCTGAAATGTGAAGTGGAATGCTAGTGTAATTATTTAATCAGACACAGATTTTTCTATCAAAGTGTTATTGCCACAGATGTTGTAAAATTGTTTTGATAATAGCTTGCTTAATAAAGAGTGTTATGTTCATAATATAGCTCTTCCCTCATCTCTCTATAATTTGAACAGTCATGACTTAGTGAGTGACAATTTGAGAGCTAGACTTGGCTCTCAAACTTGGCTTGAAGGCATCTTGAAGTTAAAGGCTTTATGGATATATGACTGCTTGGGCTTTTTCGTCCCCCAGATAATAATATTACTTGGTGTACCTCAGCCAGAAATATGTCTCCCTCAAGCTTAAGTGTGTCTCAAGTGCAAAACTCAACACTGCCTCTGCCTAAAAGCATGCACAGCTTTTTCAGTGCCTTCTGCACAGAAGAGAATATTGAACAGAGCCTCTCCTATCTTAACAAGGTAAAACCTGATATTTTATTACCAAGAAGTTCTGAGAGATACCTACCCTTGCAGCCTCAGTCCCAGAAATTGGTGATGTGATACAGATTTCACCAGTGTCAGAGATTGATTTAAAAATAATGTATCTCTTGTGGTAGGAATTGACCACACTTGGCTTCCCATCACTTTATGCTGATTCCAGAGGCAAAGAATTAAGCATAGTGTCTGTCTTAAACTGTATGAATGAGCTACTGCTGCTGCAACGTAAAACTCTACGTGCTCAGGAAGAAACAGAAACGCAGCATCTGAAACTGGGCAGTGATATGGACCATCTGCAGAACTGCTACATTAAGTTAAAGGTAATATCCTGTATTATGATGTTCCTGCTTACCCTTTTTAATATGTGAAAATGCTCGTACTTATTTTCTAAAAGTATTTGCACGTCAAATTTGTGAAGTTAAGAAATATTTGATGCATAAAATGTTACATAATCTCTGACTCTTTATAATGTGCGCTATTCAGTCTTATGTATGCAGAAATTAGACCAGGGCATTAATTGTCTTTTAAAATGTTCATCATTTAAAGATTCAGCTGAAAATTTTAAGCCAGATTATTTCTAGAAGGATTCTATAAACTTTTTACAGCATCAGCAAAATGTTATTACTCTGTTTACTTGCATAACTAGAATTGTTTTGGGGGGGGTCTGACTTTTACTAGGGTTTATAAAATTTATAACAGATGCAGAAACTTAAACATAAAACTGTATGTACCTCATCTAGACTGATAAGCGCTTGTTTAGATATATCATAAGCAGAAAGATACAACTATTGTGATTATTATATTGACTATGTGCCATCAAGTCATTTTCGACTTCTGGCGACCACATAGATTATTCTATAGTGCTTCCAAAACTGCTACATAATGCTGGAGTTTGTACTTGTTATATGTTCCCTGATTTCTTTTTCCGAATGGATAATTAAATTGAATATATATTAGCCAATAATATTTGGTTTACTATCAGCAAAAGATTGACTCTAGAGTGAACTAGTTTAACTTACCTAACTCCGTGGAACTTAAGTTCAGCCAATCAGTAATACTTCCTAAGGTGAATAGTGGTACAGTATAGTGGTTGGACTGGCACTGGGGAGATCCAGATTCCAGCCCCCCCCCAACCATGGAAGCTCACTGGGTGACTTTAAGCGTTCTCACTCAGTCCAGTTTAGCTCACAGGGTTGTTGTGGGGGGAAAATGGGAGGAAGAAGTGATGTCAATGTTCCTTCTAAGGCAGAGAAGCAGATGCGCAAGTCTTGATGTGTTCTGAGCAACTGTTGGGTTGACCTGGGCAGCCCCGGACTAGGAGGTGGCTTAAAGAAAACATTGTCTGGAGTAGCTTTACCCCAGTTATTTCCTTCCATTCTCCGTGTATCTGAAGTTGCAGACAAAGGAAGGTTACTAGATTCTTCCTCTAGGGTCTGTTGAACTGGAGTTAGTCTCTTGCAAATCAAAAAGAAAAACTTCAGATTTCATTTGTAACAGAAAGTGGAGATGTGTCCCAGTCCATTTGACCGTCTCTGTCTTTTGACAGCCTGGACATCATTGGTTCCACCAGTGTCCCTTTCCTCACTGACTCACCCCCTTCCCCCACTTCATGTTTGTGGATTTCTGGGTCAGTTTTTTGGGAGACTGAATCTTGTACAGTACACAGGTGTTTGATGTCTGCTGTTCAGCCGTGCAGAGACACAGTTTAGAGGAAACATTGTACTGTATGCTGCCTTGAGCTCCTAAAGGAAGTGCAGCTTATAAATCTAACTAACTGCAACAACAAGCAGCAGTAAAAGTTAAAAACATTTTAAAGTAAATAGGAGTCAATGAGTAAGCTGTACTTTTCAGTTTTATACTCCAAACAGTTATGCATAAGACATTTTATAACGTAATACATTGACTCTGTATGGGGTACTCAGTATATTTCAATTTTCCTCAAATATCTTATTTTAAAAAAGAGAAGCCTTTATTTCCTGTTGATTTAAAATCTCAAGACATTTTTCATCTGTAATAAATCTAGGTACAATTTTGCTTTTTAATAGGAGCAGCTGGAATCTTCTAGAAGAGAAACTGTTGGACTTCAGGAAAGGGATAGGCAACTTCAGTGTAAGAACAGGAATCTTCACCAGTTACTGAAGAATGAAAAAGATGAGGTTAGTCAACCTGTACTTCTGTGGCAAAAGTCCCGAACTTGATAGATTGGGTGGATTTTGTAAATATTCCTAGTCATTGATTTTAGAGCTATTCCATCCTATGGGATTATTGAAACTTCTGTTTGTAGCAGCCATTGTGATCATTCTGCCTGCTGATTCATATGAGGTTTGTATTCTCTGATGCTGAGACACTGTAAACCAAGATGCGTGTTTGGTTTTGGTTTAGTGTGTAGCTGGTATCCAGCCATTCATGATATATTTAGTGAACTTTGCTTAACAAACCATTGCTTAGTTCCATGTGTAAGCCGAGCCTCTGAGTTGGAATTAATCATTTGCATGCTTTCAAAGGAATATAAGAAGCAGGGCTGTACAAAACCTTCAGAAGAGTTGTGTAGCATCCTATGGGAGTGAAAACAAAATATTTCTCATTAAATGGTTAAAGCAGCCATGTCTTCTGCAACACTCAGTTGTCTCAGAAACTGCCCCTGACTTTGGAAAACAGAGCAGCTTAAACAATTGGGGAGAAGTGCTTTATTTGCTGCACGAAGTTCTGCAAAGCACCTTTTTTTGAAGACTTTGCATAGGTTTGTAAGAAATTGTTATTTCAGTTTGGGGGAGAAGAAGAGGGAAAAAACCTGACATTTAGCCTTCAACATATTCTGTGAAATGCTGAGTTTGATATCTAGCTGGAAGTGCAGATGACAGCAGCAAGCATACAAATGAAAAGAATTCCAATGCTGTTTCTATGGTCTCAGGCTTACCTAGGCAAAACAGGTGTTCCACTGTCTGGGCTTGCTTTAGCGAAATCTGCACCTGTTTAATTTTATATAGCTGTTCTTTAGGAGCTCAATTACAATGGCTATTAGGCAAGATGGAAGCATTGTGACTAATGTGTATTTCTGGGAAAGGAGCAGGACCAATAGACTCAGAGAATCAAGAGCAGAAAGATTCTTGCCTTTGCCCTTCTGAGAGAATGAGAATGGGCGGCATTCCAGATAATTACAAATGACTTCCTGACCTGAAGCAGCCCACAGAAGTTACTGAAATTACCCTGTCTTAATGACACACTTAAAGAATCATTAGTATCTCTTAGTGGATATTTTTGTGGCCAGCCTCTAATATAAATGTAAATTGCTTGGAATTTCTCAAGTATACATTTCTTTAAATATATGCATTTTAGATCCAGAAGCTACAGAATATTGTTGCAAGTCGAGCATCCCAGTATAATCATGATATGAAGAGGAAAGAACGAGAATACAACAAACTGAAAGAGCGCTTTCATCAGCTTCTTATGAATAAAAAGGATAAAAAAATGGGTATGGCCATTTATTACGGTGAAATAAATCACTTCTGCTTCCTATTCTATTTTAATTTGGCCTTGATTGATCTATTAGTTAGGGGCATGCCAAAAGTAGCTAAAATACACTGATGGATAAGAGATGGGAAACCAGAGTGCTTCTTTCAGGAATGTATACCGAGGAAGTTACTTATCATTAAGGACAAATAGGTATCCAGAACAAAGTGCTGCATGATAACCTCCAGCCTAGAACAGACCTTATAGCATCACGCAACTTAG